GATTTTGTCAAGTTCTTCTTTTGATTGAGTAATCCAAATAGTATCATCCATATAAGCAAGGACTGATACAGAAGTATAATAGTGTTTGATAGAAGGGTGAGTAAGACTTGGTTGCCAAGATGTAGAAAGTGTGTAGCCAGAAAAGTGTGAAAAGATATATGAAATTAAAAGGTCATAGTAAATTCGCCAAAAGAGAGGAGTAATAGTTTCACCTTGGTCAATACCATTTTTAACTAAATAAAAATCAGTAAGACCAAGGTTGGTAATAACATGATTGGTTCAGTTAAAAAGAATATTAGAGAGGATGTTAATAAGCTGTATAGGCATTTGAAGTCTATAAAGAGATTTTTGAAAAAGTTTAAAGTTAACAGAGTCATAAGCTTTACTCATATCCTGTGAGAGAAGCCAAAGTTGATTAGATTGACAGTTAGCATCTTCAATGGTATTATTCAAAATATGGATAGGAATTGATGTAGAATTGCCAGGAAGAGCAACATAGTTAAAAGGAAAAAGAATATTATGTAAAGACAGGATATTGTTAAGGCGGTTAGTGAGGAGTTTGGTATATAGTTTTCTAGTGTGTTCAACTAAGCTAATGGGTCTAGTGTTTGATAAGTTGCTATCGAAGATAGGTTTTTTAGAAATGGGAAAGATGCGGCCCTCTTTTCATTGTTTAGGTATAGTTTGAAGAGAAAGGCAGTGGTTAAAGAGTAAAATAATAGCTGAAGGGCCAGCATGTTTGATCATTTCATAACTAACACCAGAAGGGCTACATGCTTTGTTATTAGGAAGTTGGCTAATAGTAAAGATAATTTCCTCTTGAGTAAAATTTAAAAGAATACTAGTATACCAATTGGGATCGATATGTGATTTGGGGTTATATTCAGTTTGCCAGTGAGATTCAAAGATACTATGGTTAATATCACGGTGAGCAGTCTAGTTATCAAAGTGTTGTTGAATATGTGATTTAATAGTTGGGGAGTCAGTAATAATATCATGATTGAGCTTGATATTATTAAATTTAACAGGATCTTTATAACGATTTAAAATGCTATTAATCATAGAAGTAGGGTTTGTTTGAAGTTTGATACATCTTTTATTGATAGAGTCATTGATATGTTGTCTGATTTCTTTGATATTTTCAATATTTCGGGTATGGTAAATGTTTTTCAATTCTTCATTAGCTTCAGAGATCCAGAATGATAGAAGGTGATGAGATGTAGGAATAGTAGGAATTTGTAAGCTTAAGGATTGGTTAAGAGAAGAAATAGTAGTATTAAAGTGGGAGAAGATAGTTGTATTGAATTTGAGAGAGTGTTTAATATGATGAATAATATTGCCAAGCTTTTTAAGGTTGGAGTGAAGTAAAGATGCTTTGGAAGAAAAAACATGCTGAAAATTACAGACTGTAAATTTTTTATTAGGAATATGTTGAAGGGTAGCAGAGATGATACTAGTATGAATTTTGTGCCAAGTAGATTCAAGAGATTCATCAATATAAATAGATAGTGGAGTATGGTTATGTATGAGATTGGTATTGACTTGGTTGGCAAATTCTTCCCACTTTGTAGAGCTTATCCTAATATTTTATTTGTAGTTGTTTTCTACAGTACAATATAAATTAATTATTATTTTATTTAAATAACAAAGATAAAATAATAATACCTTGCTAAAGCATAAGCAGTTACGCTATTAGTCACCAATGCTATAACTTTAATCTTTTTAGATTTTAAATCATTAAACAGTTCTTCTACTTTTAGAATAACATCACCAGCATGTGATTTTTTACCACTAATATCTTGTGCTTTCCATATTAAAGGCTTACTAGAAGAAGTAATTAAAACACTTTCTAGTAAGTTTTGATTAATTATATTTGTCCAACTATTCAAGGTTACAGTAACTCTAATTTTATCATTTTGAGCTTTTTTTTCTATTTTAGACATAAGTTCAGTAGCTGCTTCATTTAAGAGTTTTTCACTTAATTTTTGCAATTAGGGAGTATAATTTTTTAATTAAAAAACTTGAAAGTAGCTTGTGAATCTGGGTTATCAACCCATCTAAAACTCCAACTATTGGACACTATCATTTTTAAAATTAATTGCTCTAATTTAAGTTTTTTTGTTTTAGAAAGCTTACATACAACATGACGATCTAATGGTCCTTTGCGCTCTTGTTCAGTATTACTAAAATCATCTTGAGTTTGGACATCAGACTCATTATTAGCTAATTAATATTATTAGTTAATTTTAAAATATTAAATATATGCAAAATTAATTAAATAACATTTTATTTACATATATATTTGAACTTTTTTTGGTTAATTTTTAAAACTTCACTATCTGTATTATTTAGCATTTGAGTAACTTTATCTTCTCCTTTCTTATTTTTGAAATATGCGCAGTTTTTTAGATGTGATTTTACAAGCTTTTTCATGTTGACAAATTTTTTGAATAAGCATATTTATCATCTTTAGCCTCTTTATATGCAATACAAATTGCAAAACAATTATATTCATTAGATTTCTTCTTTAAAACTTCAATAAATTCTGTTAAACAGTGTCTTTTAGGCTTTTTTTTTAGTGTTATTATTTAATAATATTAATAAGCTAAATTCTGAAAAAACTCTTTATTATTATAATATATATTAAATCAATTCTTACCGATAATGATAAGATTTGTAATATTTTACAAATAATTAAAAATACAGTCATACATAAAAGGATAACTATTAAATACAAAATAGTATTAGAATTAAAGTTATAAGTAACGCCAAATAAAAATCTAAAATGCTTAGTTTATATCTCGTAAGATTCAGAATTTAAATTAAAAAGGTAAAACATTGTGTTTTTAATTTTTTTTTTCTTATAAAATAATATTTTTAAGAACTGAATACTATAAAAGTTAGTTTTTTTTATTAAGATATTGCACATAAGTTTCTTATTTCCTTTTTATTACTTTTAATTTTTATTTTATATAGTTACTAAGAATTTACTATTATTATTATAATAATTGCTCTATAATTTTAAAATTTAATACTATACTAAATATAGATAGATAAAATAAGCAATTATATTCTCAAACTAAATTTAGTATGATAATTAATAATTATGATTTTAAGCTGTATATATTTTTCACAATATAATCTTGACTTATTTATGTAGTATAGCTTCTAATTTATTTGAGTTGACATATGGTAAGTCAACAAATTGAAAAGATGGCTAAGCAGGTAAATGCTGAGAGCAGAGGTGTAAACAATCATCATGATGATATTACAGCTTAAACCGTAACTAGCTAATACTTATATTGTAAACTGGTTACAGCAATATAGCAGTTAATTCTAATCAGGAATTCAATCAAGTAGCGTAATAGAAAGCATGAAGCCAGATAAGTAAAAAGAGATCAATAAACATCCTAATTAGAATTGCTAATAGTAATTTATTATAGATGGTGCTATAAAGAAATTAGAAGCTATCTCTGCCAAAAGCAAAATTTGCATCTGAGCTCTACAAACCAAATAATCCATGTAGAACCCTGCTATTTTGTGGTAGTTTAAACTTCTTGTCAAAGTCAGCCTGCCTGTGTAGTTAGAAAAACCACTGACTGATGCAAATTCAACTGTTAATAGTATAAATATCTATTTTCTAGATGCATATCCTATTTCAGTTTATATCAATTACACTAATATATATTGCTTATTCTTAATAAAGGTTATGCAATAAAGTTTAATAACTAGTGCTAATAGTCAGATAATAGTTATTATGTACAATGCTTTTTGTATTTATAATTTGCAACACTGGGTATAATCTTGTATTGCTTGATATAATACTTGCTATTTGTTATTATAGTAAGTAAATCAAGAGGTTTAAGCTTAAAGTTTAGACTATTATAGGTTTACCAAAAAATTCTGAAAGAAAGATTTTTAAGAATATATAGTGCCAAAAGCTTATAACAAACAATTATATAAAATGTTTCAATTTTCATGTGACTGCAATTATAGCTGTTTTTATTATTTCTGGGGCATCTATAAAAAATTAGCCAAAAAAAATTTTTGCCTGGTAATTTTTTCGGCATAATAAATTCAATATAATATTGTAATATATATATAATTTAAAATCAGATAGCTAATATATATAAAAAATTATATATATACCTTGTTGAATTCAAAAAATAGGATATTTTTAAACCATATTTGCTAGCAAATTATTGAAAAAATTTAGAAGGCTTTTTAATTCGAAAAATTGCAAACACTTAGGTGTTAGCAGGTCTTTTATAAAAACCATGTTCTTTATACATGAACAACATAAATTATCTTCAAGTTTTAATGAAAGAAAAATTTAACTGGTACTTGTATGAATTACAATCCAAGATAGAACTTTGGTTGGAACATAATATTAGTTTTACAACAATTTGGAGGGCTATACACCAACTTGGATATATACACAAAAAGGTAATATTTTATATATTTATATATACATTATTTTATTTTATAAACTTTAAGCAATTTTATAAAATGCTCTTTCATATTAATAGTTCCTGATTCAGGCTCTTTCATGTTAATAATATTTAATTCAGGATCTTTTTCACTATTAATTTCTGAATCAGTTGCATTTACTTCAGACAAGTCAGGTAACTTAAAAGTATTTGTTATGAATAATAAAGATTCTTTAATTGTTAGATTCTTTGATTGTGTTGATTATAATTTTTATCGCATTTTCAAAAAATATTAATTAAGTCTTAATCTTTTAGAATTTCGACTTTAGTAGAATTTTTAGTCCAATTGATGAATTCTTGATCATATTTAACTTTTTTAATATTAGCACCTATTCATGTAATATATTTACTATAAAAGCTAATTTGATATCTAGAGCCTTTTTTATACTTCTTGTCAAGTTTTATTGGTTGACAAAAACAATCTTTTCTATAAACTTTCACACAAGTTAAACATGCTAAACATATTGGGCAAGTGTTCAAACGAAATTTTAATAATTTTGACATTATAATAATAAAATTATTTGTATTATATTTATTATAGTAATTTTTGAAATTGGACCAAAAATGTTATTTAGATATAGATATTATATCAATATTACAGTAAATAAAAATTAAACAACTTCAAAAATATATTAAATTATAATGTAGATATTATATCAATATTACAGTAAATTAAAATTGAACAAATTCAAAAATATATTTTTTATATACTAATTATGCCAAAAAAATTACCGAGCGAAAATTTTTTTCAGCTAATTTTTTATAGGTGTTCTAGGAATAATGAAAATAGCTGTAACTAATAAAATTAATTTATTTCGACATTCTTTTACATATTGCGCCAAAAATATAATTTTTTTTTTTAATAAATAACTAATAACTTTATACATATTAATAAATTAAGCACTACTAAGTTATCAGTTAATTTTTTTTAAAGAGCTTTTCTATAAAGAGTTAACTTATTGGAAAATTGGTTTTTTTTCATACAGATAAAACTTTTTACAGAAGAGTTTTTCAAAAAAATTAACCAATAACTTTGTAGAGCTCACTTTTGTATATAAAGTTATCAGTCAATTTTTTTTAAAAAATTTATTTTAAAAAGTTTTAGTATTTAAAAATGCTATGCTTTGGCGCAGTATGTGCAAAAATGTTGAAATACATTAATCAATTGTAGTCACATGAAAATTGAAACATTTCATGTGATTGTCAGATATAAGCTTCAAGCACTATAATTTTTAAGATTTTGTAATAGAACCACATATCTCACTATTAGCTATGAAACCTTTTTCATATGATAACAAAAGATGAAGCCTAAAACCAAAAAGATAAAACCTTCAACAAAAGTTGAGGTGACAAATTCTTCTGACAAAAGATGAAGCCTTAAATTTAAAATAACGAAACCTTATGCTCAAAAATGTGAGACCTAGTGCTCACTCAAAAAAAAAAATTGTTATTTTCATTAAATTAATATTTATAGTTTATTCAAAGATCAGTATCCGAAGTTACATATATGTCAGCAAAAATAAACTAGTTCATTTTTTCTAGACAATGTCAGAGTTGTTATAGACTGATTGAAATAATTTTGTCAAAAAGCTATAGTACTTACTTATAGAATAACAACAAAAAACAAAGTAAAAATATACTACAAAATAAATTTGTAAGATCACAAAGTAAGCACTAAGCGACTTCTTACTAGAACTGATATGTAGTATACTAGTATAATAATACATTATAGAATGCTTCATTTAAATAATTTAAATGCCTAAAACTCTTTCTGTTTATCACTTGTACACAAATTTTCCCCAGCTTAATTATTTTAAACATCTTATAACTTTATTTTCTACTAAGTTAATCTTGGTTTTGCTACTAAATAAACTTATTCCTAACTAAAAAATACATATA